GAAGAATGGACTACCTGATGTGCATGAAGGCAAGCAAAGGTGGCAGGATTGCTCCTGACAAAACTGAAACACAAAAAAGAAGCATGTGAGTGGTGGACAGGGACAAATGACATTGGAGAAATAAGAGCCTCTTGCTGAAAGCTCAGGAATAAGGTTAGGAAAGCTGAAGACAGCCTGGAGTTGCATCTGGCAGGGTTGAATTTGACAAGGAACATGAAGAACAACACAAATGGTTCTTCAAGTATATCAGCAGCAAAGGGAAGCCTATGGAAAATGTAGTCCTGCTAATGAATAGGGCAGAACTGATGACAGAGGACACAGAAGAGGATGAGATGCTCGACTGTCATTTTTGCCCCAGTCTTTAGTGGCAAGACTTGTCTGAAGGAATCCCAAGCCCTTGAGACCAGAGGGAAAGTGTGGAGTGAGGAAGACTTGTTCTGGGTGGAAGAGGATCAGGCTAGGGAATATTTAAATGAACTGACCATGCACAAATCCATGAGACCTGATGGGAGACACCAGCAAGTGCTGAAGGCAATGACTGATGTCACTGGAGCCATTCTTGATTATCTTTGAAAGGGTCATGACAACCAGGAAGAGGTTCCAGAAGACTGGAAAAAAAAGCTAATGTCACTCCCGTCTTCAAGGAGGGTTACAGGGTGATCAGCCTTGCCTTGATCCGTCAGAATGTAATGGAGAAAATAATCCTTGAAATGTCTTCAAATGTATTAAGGACAAGAAGATGATTGGGAGGGAATCATTCCTGTCCTGCTTGATAGTCTTCTATGATAATTGGTGGGGAGAGTGGTGGATGTTATTTATCCTGTCTTGAGCAAGGCTTCTGATGCTCTCCCATGACAGCCTTATTAACAAACTGATGAAATATAAGCTAAGTAAGTGAACCTCTTATGATGGAATGAAAACTGGCTGAACTGCCCAGCCAAAGCCTAGCAATAAGTGATTACATGGATGTTGATTAGTGGCCTGAAGTCTTTCTGGAGGCTAGTCCCTACTGATGTACCCCAGGGGTTAAAACTGGAACAATGGATGTTTAACATCTTCATTTATGACTTAGATGATGTAACAGTGTTCTTTCAGGAGGTGTGCAGAAGATACAAAACTGGGATTAGTAGCTGATACACCAGTTGGGTGCACTGCCACCTCTGAAATTTGACCTTGACAGCTGAAGTAGTAAGTAGACAAATCTTACAAAGAGAAATACCAAGCCCCGCCCCTGGGGAGGAATAACTCCCCAGTAGATGCTGGGGGCTGATGGACCGGAAAGCAGCTTGGCAGAAAAGTCCCTGGAATAGTCTTGTTGAACAAGTCAGACACAAGCAGCATTGTGTCATTGTGGCCAATAGTGTTCAGGGCTGCATTAGGAAGAGTGATAACAGATCAAGGGTGGCAATTTCTCTAAGCTGCCCTGGTGAGACATACCTGGAATGCCATGACTTCTGTACTTGGTAGCCCAGAACCAGACATGGACATATCAGAGTCCAGCAAAGGTTGTGAAATAATGAAAGGATCGGAGCATCTGATGTATGAGGTGAGGCAAGGAGAGCTGGAACTGCTGAGTCTGGAGAAGAGAAGGCTCAGCGGGATCTTATCCACGTGTACAAATACCTGATGGGAGAGAGCAAAGAAGCTGCACTGTGGGTCTTCTCAGCAATATTCAGTGGCAGGGCAAGAGGCAATGGGCACAAACTGAACTATGTGAAGTTCTATCTAAATATAGGAAAGCACTGTGAGAGTGGTCAGACAATGGAATAGGTTGCCCATGGAGATTGTGGAGTCTCCACCCTCAAAGATATCTATCCTGGGCTTAAACTATGACAATATCTGAAACCCAACTTGACATAGTTCTAAGCAACCTGCTGTAGTTGACCCTGCTTGTGAGTAGAGGATTAGACCAGATGATCTGCAGAGGTCCCTTCCCACTTCAGTCTGTGATTCTGTGACCTTAACTGTTAACAAATAATGGACTGGTCATAACATGGAAGTGTCCAAAATAATCCAGATTCTCTGGGGTATATGGTGTCAGCCAAATTCTGCTCCAAACTTCCTTGTTGTGGTTCTTCTTGACTTCTATGGAAACTCTGTATACCAGCTGCTCTGTTTCTGCAAATAATCAGCAGAAATTTATGGCAAATATTGAAAATTATTAGATTTCCAAATTCAGCTGTCTAATATGCATGTGAACTGACTGCACTTGTATTGATTAGTACAGTAGAAAAGCTGGCACTGCTGTTTTGTAGTAGCTAGCTACTAAATGTCTCTGTTTTCTGCTATTCTGCACAGTATTTGCACAGAGCACTACTGAATGAAAGTTCAAGAGGTTTAAAATGTGTTTGCAGTGGTTCAAGGTGATAGAGCTATCCCTGAAACAATGGCAGATTGAGCTTCTCAACGGTAAAGCTGACATGCTCCAAAAGTTTGACAGCTTGGAAGCTATCATGGTAGTGGTGGGGTGAATATGGAGTGCTTAAACTCCTTTCTTATTCAGAAGTATACCATAAGACAGTTCTGAAACTATTTTAAATGGTTTATGGGAGCTCCTTCATAGGAGTTGAACTCCTTGACAGGTTTCTTTTCAAAGGTAACTGTCATAAATTATTTTTGCTTGCAATTCTGAAGCACCAGAAATTTCTAAACAGCACCAGATGAATAATAATGAAAATAATTATCAGACTTCAGAGTACCTGTTTTTGAAAGAGTAGAACTAACTAGAAGCGTGTCGATTGCTTAGTTTATGTATCTATAACCTCTTATTGCCACCATTTTGAATTAGTGGCCTACAGTCACATATTCATTTATAAGGAACTGATCACAATAATGTCTCTCTTGACAGTTCCCAGGCTATCTTGGTGGCTCCATATTACAACCATCATCTCTTGGACATGAAATGTGATGTAGGGCTACATTACTTTGATCTGTGTACTTCCTAAATGCTGTTAGAGAAAACTGTAACTTCCAGTTGCATCCCTTATTTAGTTATAAACAGTTGTGAAGTTTAAACAATCTGTAAACTAATTTATATGACAACCAAAAATATGGCCAAAATATGGCTTTTCTACCATAGCCTACATCTTTGGTACAGAATAAGGGAGTGAAGAAAGAAACCAACTGGACTGTTCTACAGAACAGCAGCTTTCCTGAGTAATTTCATCCTGAGGTGCAATATTTCCACTGAACCTGAGTTTGGTTCAATGAGGGGTAGTGGTGGGAGCATCTGTAAATAACTTCCCAGCTGTACCAGTTCTTTCTTTTACTATCTTGCTGCTAAAATTTTGCTTTTCCTTCACACTAGCTCATTAGTTTTAGCTAATTATAAATTAAATGTCAAGAGGATTGCTTTTCCCCTTCCTATAAAACCAGGAAAAACTACTTCAAGCCTACTGGACTTTCTCTCTGCCTGTTCCCAGGATTCTGCTGTTCTGATAGAAGTGTCATCCTCTTCTAGCTGGAAGTTTAAAGAAACTGGACTGACAGCGGAAAGAAGGTGGGGACAATTTTAGAACTGAACTTATGCATAAGCAGGGAAAGAACTGGAGAATTGACACAGAGTGCCCAGGGTGATCATGGATCTGTTTTCAGAGATACTCCCAACTTGAGGAGGCCCTCAGCTGCCTTCTCTAACTTAGCAGAAGGTTGTATTTAGTGACCTCTTGAGGTCAACCTCAATTACCCCACGAGTCTTAAAAGGTGAGGGACAAAATCAAAGAGGAACATAATTGAACGAGAAGGAAGGTAGCCATAGAGCTAATCAGAACTTCTACTAGGTGCGTCATCCCTCCCCAGGCTATTTTGGTTTGGAATTAGATGTGAATTTAATCCAACTTTTTGGGTGGCTTAGGAAGAAATCACTGCAGTTGTGTGTAGCTCTCCTGAACAGTATTCATCTGTATTAATGGAGGCCCAGCTCTGGTTTCTTTTGAATGGACAGCCTACAGTGAAGCTGTAGAGACTGCTCCCATCATCCATAAATGATAAAGGATATGTGGGGGAAAATGCTGAAGAAAACAGGGGGAAAAAATGAAATAGGATGAAAGGTTAATCTATAGAGTAATTCCAGTTTATTTCCTTCCTATGTTAATACTGAGGCATGACACTATCACAGTATGCTGCTGCTCCTCACTACGTGAGGTAGGATAAACGTTTGATTAGCATGAGCATCTGCTGAAGTTCATGTTTCTGAGTCATCCTATGTGGAACTGTAACACTTCGTACAAGCTACTTAAATGTATGGAAGTAGCATGTGAATAAGTGGGTGTGACTCCCTAGTCTGGGGGTTTACACACTTGACTGGGAGCAAACCCGCCTGGGTTGCTGCCCTCATGAATTATTAGTACAAATTAATTAATGTAAATTCAACAAAGCTGTTGAAATAGCATCAACAGAAGAATGTAAGATCTCCTACTCCAGAGACACTGTAGTTTGTTGTCAAAATAATATTATCGGAGAACAAGAGGTGTAAGTTCAAATACCCTCAGGTAAAGATGAAAATCGGGCCTAAGGCTGCCAAGTACTTGCGTGCATCCTAACCACTTAGCTCTTGGCTAAAAGGCCAACCCCCTGGCAAACCTCCGTTTTCAGTACTGCTGCTTCTGCAGGTGCTCAAGAGGAATCATTTGGTTTCAAGCTGCTAACAAGTCAATCACTTGAAAAATCTTAATAAAAACACACACACAAAACAAGGGGGGGGGGGGGGGGATTTGCTGGCATTTGAACTTCAATTGAGGAACTGATTATACCACCTTGCAATGGAGTGTTTCTCTCAGCACCGTTTTGCCTTGCCAGTGACTTAGCAAGTTGTGTAAAGAGGAGACTTGGAATAAACCCCAGCATCCTTACATCTGAAGGACTGGAGGGTGATTGGATTTGCACAGCAAAATAAGCCCCCCGGGTTTAAGAAGGGAGAACACCCACGATGAGGAAAGAATACAGATTTCAGTCGAGGAGGAGAAAATGAAGGGAAAGTTAAAGAGGTTGAAATCGTTCACCTGTACAACGAGCACTGTAGCCTTTTCGGGCAGATGCCGCTCTCCGCACGCAACTAGCTTCATGCGCCCAGACCTCTCCGGTCCGCCTCGCCATCCGCTCCCGAACGAGCCCGGCTGCCGCTCAGCGATAACGGCCAGCAGCCCGGCCCCTGCCTCACGCTCCCTTCAGAGCCCGGGGCTAGCCCCAACCGTCCCCGCGCGCCGGCCTCTGACCCGTACGGGCTGCCCCTGATTAGCCCGCTCCCGCCGGAGAGGGGGGGCGCCATGCAGCTGGGGAGCCAATCAGGAGCCGGGGCTGCCCAGCTCTGCCCGCCTCGTCGGCGAGGCGGGCGCTGGCGGTGGGGGCTGCCGGGGCGCCGGGGGCGGCAGGGCGGCGCGGCGGGCACCGGGCGCGGGCACAGCTGCGGGCACTAGCGACGCCGGTGCCGCCGCCGCTGCCGCCACTGCCACCGGGCGGATCCACGCTTCAGCCGGAGCTTCTTTCGTCGCTTTACTTTCGCGGCCCGGAGCAGGGACATTATGCCGAAGAGAAAGGTAAGGCGCCCCGGGCGTGTGATGGGTCCTGCCTCCGCGTCTCCCCCGGGCAGAGCCGGTGGGTGAGCTGCGCGCTGGGGGCCGGGGACGCCCGCTGCTCCGCCGCCGCTGTGCCGTGCCGTAGCTCGCGGATTGCTCCCTCACACGGGTATTTTGCTGCCTGTTGCAAGCCCCCTCCACCCCTCCCAGCACTGCCGCCCCCTGTTTACTTTCCCACTGCCGCGCGGGGCTGCATCGCCCCCGTCCCCGGGGGGTGAAGGCGCGATCACAACTCCAGGCCCCCCTCCTCTCCCTCCGCCACTGGGGAGAAGCGCTGCAGCAGCTGCGGCTTCGCCCCTGGCCCCCGGCGGGCGGAGTTTCCTGCTTGCAAACTCCGCGGAGGGGGGAGCGGCGGGGAAGGGGCAGCCCCCACCCTGGGGCGGCTGGATTTTGCTGCGTCCACCTCTCGCTGTGCCCGGGTGGTGGCTCCGAGGGTAGAAGGGAGGAGGGGAGAGGCAAGCCATGTTTAAAACAAACTACACCCTTCTCCTCGCCTCCCGCGGCAGACCCGTATGTACCAACTCCGGCGCCCAACCGGGCAGGGCCCCCGGGGGCGGGGAGGCGCCTCCTGAGGGGGCGCGCGCGGCCCCCGCCGCCTCCCCGCCGGGCCGGGAGCCCAACGACGAGGGTGAAGGGCCATGGCCGGTGTCTCCCTGTCGCCGTCCGTTTTCCGCTCTGCGGGCATCTCAGGGCGGACAGCCGCCTCGGGAGGGAGCTGCGGGGGGGGGGGCGGTTGTGAGACCGAAGGGACAGGAGAAACTTAGGCGGCGGCCCTTCGGCAGCCGGGCTCGCTGTGGTGGGGTTTGGTGGCTTTTCTGTCACTCTCTTCGCTGCGCGGCGTCGTGGCCGCGGGCAGCGGTTGCGGTCTGGCAGAAGGCAGGCTGAGGGCGGGTGGCGGCAGCTGGCCCCCTTCCTGGCGAGCGGCGGAGGGGCGAGCGCCCGGCCCTCGGGGTGCGCACCCGCGGGAGGCCCCGCTGGAGGTGATCCTCGTCAGGAACTCGCCGCCTTGCCTTCTGCAGGCGCCGGGTGAGGACAGCAAGGGGCTTGGCACTGATACACGCAGTGCCAAAAAATCATAGCTGCGGTCATTTAATTGTAACTAGGTCAACCAAAGCAAAGCAGTTTGTGTTTTGGGGGATTTCCCAAATGTCACCTGTGACCTCCTAATACACCCTAATTCAGCACTTTAATAAAAGTTATGATGGCTTCCAGGGAGCTCTGTTCAGCTGTTGTCCTTTTGTTATTCTTCATGAGAGGTGTCAAAGTGTCAAATTGTCGAGTACACTGCTGAATTATTTAATTCATTGTTAAGAACGTGATTCTAGTCCTGAAAATGGATACAGCTCTGGGGCTGACTGTGTTTATTGGGACAGTTGGGCTTGGAGTTATGGAATGCTTTTCCTCTTGCTCTTCTGTCATTGCACCCTCATGTAGGCCTCAGGTAGTGTTTCTGCTGTTTTAGCACCGTTGCTTATCATCACAGAAAAGTTGAAAATCAGCATGTGCCCATTGGACTGTCCACAACTTCTGAAACTTCCAATCCTGTTTCCTTTGCCCTTTTGCGTTCTTATGCTATGGATAACATTTCAGGCTGGCCTGCGTAAGAGGGGGTAGAATTAAAGTCACTCTTGTAGGTTTTTTGTGGTCTGTTGTGAAATGTTTAACAAGAGAAATGATCTTGGAGTAGTAAGTCCACACAAATGAGTCTTCTTTCTAGAAAGATTATAAAAAGGTAATAAAAACATTGCATATGGGATCAGAGCAATGGAAGTGAATTTTAATGGTACAATTTTAATTTCCTTAGCATTGTACAGGTAAATGTTTAAATTAAAAAGATTATACATGAAGTATGGGTTTTGGGTAACATTGGTTCCAGGAAACGTGTGTTATTAATGGCTTTGCTTTTTGAGAAAAAGTGAAATTGCCCCAAGTATTCTACAGTAGTCAATTTTTGCTCCAGAAAAACATCCACAGGGTGAGAAGATAATCATGCAGTGATAGCTGAATGATTACACCAGTCAGCTTCCACATGGAGACAAAACCATCACATGCAGTGCCTAGTCAGTTCTTCTGTTAAAATTTCTAACTTATATAAACCCTTCTAACACTTAAAGTTTTATAAGGAAATAAACTTCAAAAGTCAAAATGAGAAATCTTGACAGTTATGGAGGTAAATAAATAAATCAAATAAATAAATCATATTCCAGAAAGGGCACAAATCCGCCTGTACCTGTTTTTATGGATGCCTTGGTTATCTAAACTGACTGGTCCTTTCTGTTCGATTTTCTTTTCATGTCTGATTTTTCTTTTTTTTTTTCATCTCCATGTAAGCAAAAGTCAGTTGCTGAGTCCCTGGCCTTATTATTAGTAATATGAACAAAAAAATATAGGGCTGTCTCCCCATGTCTAGAGGGCTGCAGCCCCAGGTATTGGGATGTTGCTACTCATTCCTTGAGGGTTGTGGGGAAAAGGAAAAACTTCATGTGTGTTGAGATGGTGTTAAATACTGTGCTAAAACAAAAAGGTATTGAACTCTGGACTCCTGTCAGATTACTGCATCCTTTATCTGTTGTAATAATATGTTGTGTGAATGTGGCCTTTCACAAGAAGAATGGCATGACAGTGTGGGATAAACCAGAATGCTTGTTGTGGTATTGATAGCAATGAAATGAATTGAGGTGTTTTGTTTTGTCGCTTGCTCAAATTAACTCTTGGGTCATGTTGGAAAACACCTTGACCTTGAAACGGCCCAAACAAAACTGTCTCCATGTCAGCCATAAAAGGATGAAGGTCCATTCCATACCTGATGGTGAGGAGGATCGTGGTACGGTCACAGACACCTGTCTTTATAAGCATACATACATCAGCTTTAATGTGGTCATCATCAAGATGAATGGTACTTAGCCCTTTAAGTAGAATGTGCATCATCTCTGAGGGACCTTAACGGATTGAGTGGTAATTTGTTCAGTACTGGTTGGGGAGCCTCTTAGTTGGGGTTGCACTCCAAAATGACCCAACTTGTTCATTAATCTGATGCTGTGAAACACAGCCTACACCTGACACATTGTTCTGAAAACACTTGGAGTTGAATCAGATGTGAGGACTAAATGTAACTTTTCCAAGTTTTGTTGTTTTAATATCTTTAAATATTGCTGTTGCTTCAGAGCAAATAAAAATATGGTTCAATTAGCCATTTCTGTAGGCTATTCAACACTTCTTTGTAATCAGGAATGTTAGTTTCTGCAATACAGTTGATGCTGTGAAAATGTAATGGAGAACATCTGTGGCAGGTTCCTGTTCTGTTATGCAAATTCATTTTCTTTAAAGTCTGAGTTAGTTATAGTTACTACAGAAAAACAAACCCTCTAAGTATTTTGTTCGGAATGCTGCTTCTGTAGTGGAAGTTAGAAGGTGCAGTATTTCAGAGTTGTCCTATCATGGTGCATTTAGTTACATGATCACATGCTAGATTTTTTTCGTGGGACTCTTACCTGATTGGCAAAACAACTAGTAAGGTCAATCAGTGTGTTTTCTAGTCCTTGGAGTTAAACACATATCCTTACATTTACAAACCTAGAGCTGTTAAATTCTACTTTTCCTTTTTTTTCTTGACCTGAACTCAATTCTCTTTGTGAAATTCTTCTACATGTTTGAGTTGCATTTCTGAAGTGTTATGAATACTCAAAGATAAATGTTGTTCCTCATTCACTGATGGAGGGGTAAAAAATCTGGACAGACATCTTAAGCTGAGAATCCAAGATGAAGGAACCATTCCAACAACTTGGCCATTTACTTCTGTGCCCCGTTTCCCTATCAAGCACCTTCTGCACTCAAGTGGTGCATTTGTTGTTACTTCTCCAAATCTGCTGTCTTGCTTTGTGGTGCGTACGTAGAGGAACTTGCAGTAGTGACCAGTTCTCTAAAATTTTGTTGGAGCAACTTGTATGTGATCAAATACCAATTAACTAATGAAGCTGAGGGTTCTGCAGATGACAGTTCTGTTTGCTGTGGCTCTGAATGTTCGCTGTTGCTCTTTGGTCTGTAGAATGAGGTGTAGATCTTGTGCAAAGAGTAGCAGGTGAGTTTGCGTTCATGGTGCAGGAGTATGAAGTACACTGAAGTGCTGTTCAGCTGCATTTCATGTCCATTTCCATGTTTTAATACTTAAGCTGTGTATCAGTCTGTGTCAGTTCAACGTACCACATGTAACGTAGTGGTTATCTTCATTTTGAAGCTACTTGGCAGGAGAGCAGTTCCAGTGATGTTGTGAGGACACTCGCCTTCTTAACAACTTGTTTCATTACTAGGGTTGGAAGCTCTTTGTGGCAGAGGCATACTTCAGTTTTGCCCAGAACACAACTAACTGCACACATTGGTAGCAGTGGGATGCAGAAATAGGAGAGGTTCCGTATTTTATTTCATCATCTGGAGGTGATTAGTAGGGTAAAGGGGCTCAGTACAAGATCCATATGTGTTGGCTGCTGCCCTCTCCCCACTCCCGTTTTGTTCCACTTCTCCTTCTAGACTTTTGCTTGAACTCCC